TCAACCGCGAACATTTTTCAAGCAACGCGAACAGACCTTATTCCACTGCGAGCGTATCTTATGAAGGGAAAGAAGAGAAGCGCGCGGAACTCGATCATAAATAATCCGGAACAAGAAAAAAAAAAGCAGAGAGAGAGAGCATCCTTATAAAAATTTAACACTGTTACTGCAGTATCAATTAATCACTCGTTTTGAGTATTAAAAGTATTGTTAACAGTACTCCTGAGTTTTAATATCGGCCATTAATCATTTATTGAGTATTAAAAGTGTGTTAAGCAGTACCTTAAAAGTTTAATATCGGCCATTAATCACTTTTTGAGTATTAAAAGTATTGTTAACAGTACTTTTAAAGACTTTAATACTAGCCATTAATCACTTCAGCGAGTATTAAAGGTATATTGTGTTAACGGTATAATTCTATTACTTTTAATACTCTGAAAATAAGTGCTCAATCGATCAGTATCGTCATTAAATTGCCATAAGGACACGGGAGATCCCCATTATATATATATATCTTCTGAGAATTTCGGCGCCGCCGTCGGCTCCGAGTCGTGGCGAGGAGACGTGCGTGGATTCGTGTCGAGGAATCCCTGCGATTCCTCGAGGATTCTCGCTATACGTAAAATATACTCACAGCATCCTGCGGGCGGTGGCATCGTCGACGAGACGTATCGGGACGGTGACGTGCAACGACGGCTCCGGCGAGTAACGGCGGCACGGCGGTAGTCACGGTCACAGCAGCGGGCGCACAGCAGCAGGCTGCTCCGGCTTACGGTGACGACAGCGGAGCTGCACAGCACTGTAGGAGCAACGCACATGTCACTGTCACCGGCGGTGGCCGTTTTTGGCGGCCGCGAGCTCCAGGAGGCGCGGCTCCTAGCGGGCGACGGGTTGTTCTGGCACGAAACACGACGCAGCACGGGCGCGATCCGACGGCCGTCGACGAGAGAACCGACAACCGACGCGGGACAGAAGAGAGAACGCGCGCGTGAGAGAGAGAGAGAGGGAG